TTTGTTTGTTGTTTCAGGAAAACAACTTTTTTGTTACTGATCTTTTGTGTGTTTTTGGTCTCAATTTCATTTGCCCTCTGAGCTTTATAATTTATTTCCTTCTAACTTTGGATTTGATTTGTTCTTGCTAGTTCCTTGGGATGAGTAAGTGAATAAATGTAGATTTCTTTATTTTTACTGACTTTAGTTCAGTTTGCTATTTTACTTTTGATGCCAATAATTTTTCTATCAATTTATTAAATTTTGTTTGAGCATATGTTAAAATTAATAATTTTTGTTTCATAATAATCCTTCTGATAATGTTAAACATCATTTACATTACATTGTAAGTTGGAGAGGTCAGTGCAAGATTTCTTGACTCTGGTCTTAGCTCTTTTTTTTCTCTCTAAGTTGGAGTCTCACTCCATCGCCCAGGCTGGAGTACAGTGGTGTGCTCAGGGTCACCCCAGTGTTGACCAGCTGACTCAAGGGAGCCTTCTGCCTCAGTCTTCCAAGTAGCTGGAACTACAGGTGCATGCTACCATGCCTGGCTAATTTTTTATTTACTTATTTATTGTAGAGATGAGGTCTTGCCAACTTGCCCAGGCTATTCTCAAACCCATGAGCTCAAGCAATTCCCTCACTTCAGCCTCTCAAAATGCTGGGATTACAAGCTGGAGCTACTGTGCCTGGCCTCAAGAGAGTCTTAAATCTGGAAGTAAAAAGACCATAACCACCAGCATGAAAACATGTGAAAGTATGAAACCCACTGTTAGAAGAGCTGAGACCAGCCAGGTGCGGTGGCTCAAGTCTGTAATCCCAGTATTTTGGGAGGCTGAGGTGAGCATATTGCCTGAGCCCATGGGTTTGAGACCAGCCCGGGCAACTTGGTGAAACCCCATCTCTACAATAAATAAAAAAATTAACTGGGTGTGGTAGTGCATGACTGTAGTTCCAGCTACTTGGAAGGCTAAGACTCCCTTGTACATTTTTTGTAAGGTTGGTTCAGTGGTGATGAATTCCCTTAGTTTTCGCTTGTATGTAAAGAGGTTTTATTTCTGAAGGATCAGTTTACTGGGTATAATATTCTTGGCTGACAGTTTCTTTCTTTCTTTCAACACTTTGATTATGTTATCCCATTCTTTCCTGGCCTGTAAGCTTTCTGCTGAGAAATCCACTGTTAGTCTGGGAATTCCCTTATAAGAAACTTGATGCTTTTCTTTTCTTTCTTTTTTTTTTTTTTGAGTTGGAGTCTCACTCTGTCACCCAGACTGGAGTGCAGTGGCCGCTCCCGGCCACTGCAGCCTTGATCTGCTGGGCTCTGGCAATCCTTCCACCTCAGCCTTCCACGTAGCTGGCATTACAGGCGCACACCCAGCTAATTTTTGATTTACTGTAGAGATGAGGTCTCGCCAAGTTGCCCAGGCAGATCTTGAACCCGCGGGCTTAGGCAATCCATTCACCTCAGCCTCCCAAAGCGCGGGATTGCAGGCTAAGCCACTGAGCCTGGCTTGATGCTTTTCTTTTGCTGTTTTTAGAATTATTTCTTTATCTTTGCCTTTTGACAGTTTGACTCTAATGTGCCTTGGAGAGGACATATTTGGGTTAAATCTTAGGTTCTTTTGGCTTCTTGGATCTGAATGTTCATCTCACTCCCAAGACTTGGGACATTTTTAGCTATTATTTCATTCAGTATCTTTTCTTTTCTTTTTTTGAGTCAAGTCTTACTATGTCACCCATGCTGTATTTCAGTGGCATGATCATGGCTAACTGCAGCCTCAAGTTCCTGGCCTCAAGTGATCTTCCTGCTTCGGTCTTCTGGGTAATTTGGACTACAGGCACATACTACCTCACCTGGATAATTTTTTATTTTTATTTTTTTAGAGACAAGGTCTTGCTATTTTTTATTTTTTTAGAGACAATAAAATATTGTCTCTAAATTGAGACAATATTTAGAGACAATATTTTTTTAGAGACAGGGTCTAGGCTAATCTCGAACTCCTGGGTTTAAGTAATCCTCAGTCCTCCCACCTTAGCCTTCCAAAGTGCTGGAATTATAAGCATGAGCCACCATGCCTGACTGTGTTTTCTATCTCTTTGCCCTTTTCTTCTCCTTCTGGAATGCCCATAATGTAAATATTTATTTGTTTAATGGTGCCCCATAAATTCTGTCATCTTTCTTCATTCTTTTTTATTCTTTCTGTTTTTTTTTCCTTGTCTGCCTGTGTTATTTCAAAAGAACCTGTCTTCAAATTTAGAAATTCTTTCTTTTACTTGGTCCACTGTTGGTAAAGCTCTCAATTGTATTATTTATTTCACTCATTGAATTTGTCAACTCTAGGATATCTTGTTTGGTTCTTTTTTATGATAACTTTCGCATTCAAATCGTGAATTGTTTTTCTGATTTTGTTAAATTGTCTATCTATATTCTCTTGTATCTCACTCATTTTCCTTTAAATTACTACTTTGAGTTCTTTTTTTCTGGCATTTTTTTATATTTCCTTATGATTGAGGTCTATTACAGAAGAATTATTGTGTTCCTTTGGAAGTGTTATGTTTCCTTGCTTTTGCATGTTTGATGTTTCCCTGCATTGATGTCTACTTATCTGGTGGAACAGTTGCCTCTTCTAATTTTATGGAGTAGATTTTGTACAAAAGACTTATTTGTATTAATGGGTCTTGGGACATTGATTCAGTGGGATATGTTGACTTTGGTTCTAGGTGGAAACAGTAGTGCTGTCTTTGTAGTTTTCTTAGCTAATGATGTAATCTATGCTAATGATATTTGTGAGTTTCTCAATGGCCTCAACTAAGAGAGTTTGTGGTGGTGGTGTCAGTTTTGCTGGAGATTGTCTCACTGGACTATTTCTCAGGTCGGGGGTGCGTGGGTACCCATGTTGGATCATCCAACTTGGGGTCTCACTTGCTGGCGTTCAGGCCACAAGGATGTTATTCTTGCTGGGTCATGGTTGCTTGGCCACCTTGGCCTGCTGTGAGTGGCCTATGAGATTGTTTCTCAGGCTCAGGATGTGGGCACACTGCTACTTGACTGTCCTGGGAGCCATATCTGCTGGGGCAGCCAACAGGGCTGTTTCTCAGGCATAGAGAGGCACATACGAGACTGCTTAATAGTCTGAGGGCATGTCTGCTAGAAGACCCGATGAGCTGCTTCTCAGGCCTGGGACATAAGTGTAAAGATTGCTCAGCTGGCCTTGGTGAGTTTCTTTTGGGGGTGGTCCACAGGGCTGTTTCTCAGGCCCTGATGGCAAGCGAAGGGCATGTTCATGGTGAGTGTACCACAAGACTCTTTCTTAGGTCTTGGTTATGGCTATATAGCTTCTCTGCCAGCCTGAAGGCATATCAGCTACCAGGGGACCTCTCCCACTTGAGAGATGGCATTCACTAGCTTGGTTGGCTCAAGGGTAGGTTTTCCCTGGATGAGACTGCTAGACTGTTTCTCTAGCTGAAAGTGTGGGCCTCAGGAGTTAGATTTCCTGCTGGGCTGGACCAGAGTCTCAGCCTTTCTGGGCCTATGCTTTGTGCGTCTGGGGTTGTAAAGTTTTGCCACCCATGTGGACTTGGTGGAATGAAGATAGAGTCCCAGTGCTGGAGAGGAGCAGTGGCTACTAGCCCTCTAGAGGAAAACACATTCTAGAGATGGGTCTGGTCTCAAGATGACACCTGCTGCAGCAGCTTGCTTCACAGGAGGTATGTGGGGGGTGGAGGGTGCCCACCTTGTGCTCCTATCTGGGGCAGTGCAACTGCATGAATTTCCAGTAGCTCTCCAAACTGGGCTCAGGACTTAAGGACTATAGGAGGGATTCTCCTATAGAAAGGACTGTAGGTCCTTATAGGTGCCTGCAGTGTCAATGGGGGCTGGAAGGAATCTTCTGCTTACCTTTTCCTTGCAAGGGGAAGTCCCTCCTGCCTTTGGGCTGATCCCATCTGGGTGGGAAATATGGGCCAGCAGAGGCTGGTACCTCCATATTGTCCTTCTGGACTTCCAGCCACCACAGGTGCCTCTCTTCTTCCCCACTTCTTTTCAGTACTCTCCCTTCCACTCTGTTTATTCAAATCTTAGCTGTTTATTCATTCGTAGTCCTTCCTTATGTGGGAAGGTGGGATGAGGACCATGTGTCTTTAGTCTGCCATCTTGCTGACATCCCAACAACCTTTTATCCCACCATTTTTCATGAATCCAGTGAGAATCTAAAGTAAATGTTCATCTCTGTGTTGAAGTGGACAGAGATGGTGTTTTGGACAAGATGATCTTCACAGTTTGGATTGAATTGGACAGATGGAGATAAGAGCGGAGATACACAAGATCAGGAGAATCCTATAAATATGGGGTCTGAGGCAGAAATCACATGTTTCCTGTTCCTTGGACAGCAAGATCAATTGGTCTATTGCAGGAGGGGTTTGTGGGTTATTAGAGGGAACAAAAGTTAAAATTGATAATTATTTTATTATGTTGTGAATGCTGCATTATATTCATAAAATTGACTTTGGAACCCTGTATGTATTTCTGTCTGTGAGCCACCAAGTACCCTTTAATGTGAAGTTATATGTTCATTTGTTTTCCCTGTTGTAGTTGCAACATTGTATCTGTTCACAAAATAATATTTGAACCTTTGGTTATCACATAGCCCATGCAGCAAACTGTGTCCTAGTAGAAAGGCCACTTCCATTCTGCCTTGTGTTTTTGAAATTAAGAACCTCATTTTCCAACCTCCTGCAGGATTATCGACTCAAATGTATCTTGGAGGATTAATATGAGTATCAGGTTCTCCCATCATCTCATTAACAGGCTGTAGTTCTCTGAGGACCATACTTGTACCTTATTCATCTTCGTATCTCTTCCAGCACTAAATACAGTTCTTGGCATAAACTAAGGATGCAATAAATCGTGGTCACATCGAATTTTCAAAGCATACAAGGCTGGCCATCTCTGCACTTATGGGAGTAATTTGTAGCCAAGCTGTATTTGTTGAGATATGTAACGCATTTAATATTGTTCATAGGTCCAGCCTGATGAGTGGAGAGGCTAAGCGAGGAGCACCTAACCCTTGGCTCTTTGAAGAGCCAGAGGAGACCAGAGGCTTGGGTTTTGATGAAATCCGACAACAGCAGCAGAAAATTATCCAAGGTACTGAATACCCCAAGGAGTATAGAGTCAGAAACCTTCCAGATTTTTACTGTAGTGTTCCTTATTTCCATTGAAAATTGGAGTAATAACTGTTGATCTTTTAAAGCTCTTGGCATTTGTGCCCCAGGATATTTGAGGAATAGACCATTTCTGCCTGCCGTCTCAATCGCTCATAGAAGTAGTGATTTTCCACTGGGCAAGAGCAGAGACAGCAGGTCTAAGTCCACGTGAATTTGATGCATGTGCCTTTTGCTTTGTTCCACAACTGGAAATTAGTCTCTGCACACCAGACTTCATCTTTTTTTTTTTTCCTATAAAATAAGTCAGTTTGGCTTTTACCTTCAAATTCATCTTGTCTTGCTAATTTTTTTTTTTAACTTCTACTTTTCAAATTTTGGAAGCAATGCATGATTTTTACACAAAGTTCAAACAATATAGAGATATGTAAGATAAGAGTCCTACATATTCTTCAATCTCAGACTGTAAATGGATTAATGGATTAATATGTATTTTCTTTTGGTAAATGTGTATATACATATATTCAGTATAAAAATGTTCATTTTATGTAAATGGAGTTATGGAACATATAGTTATCTTTCTAGAGATATATCATTTCATATCCTTTTTTCTTAGTGTTTATCATGGACATTTTTTGTGCCATTATGTATAGATATATTGTTCTAATTATGCTTTTAAAAAACAGCTTTATTGAGATATAGTTGACATTATTATAAATAGCACATATTTCTAGCGTTTGATTCAGTAAGCTGACATATATATGCACCTGTAAAACCATCACTACAATAAAATCAATGAGCATAATCGTTACTTCCAAAAGTTTTCTTCATGCCTCTTTGTTTTTTCTCTTGTTCCTCCCCTGATTCCTAGACAACTGCTGATCTGCTTTCTGTCGTTATAAATTAGTTTTCATAATTTCTATAAAAAGAACCATATAGTATATATTCTTTTTTGAGAAGAGTCTAGACTTTTTCTCTAAACATAATTATTTTAAGATTCATCTATGTTGTTGTATGTATCAGTATTTTACTCTCTCATATTGTGGAATAGTATTCCATTGTATGAATTTGCCACAATCTGTGTATCCATTCAAGTGTTGATGAATATTTGGATTTTTTGGCTGTTAAAAATAAAGCTGCTATGAGCATTCATATATTATTCTTTATATGGATATAATTCTGATTTTTTCTTAGGCAAATACCTACAGGTGGAGTGACTGAGTCATTTAGTAGGTATATGTTTAACTTTTTGAAAAATTTTAATTGGCAAATAAAAATTATATTTGTCATGTGCAACATGTTTTTTTGAAATATATGTATTTACATTTTGGAATGGGTAAATTAACGTATTTATTACTTCATATACATATTTGTGGTGAGAACATTTAAAATCTAATCTTTTAGCAATTTTCAAGTACTTTAGTCACCATGTTATACAATAGGTCTCGTGAACTTATTCTTTCTGTCTAACTGAAATTTTGTATCCTTTGACCATTGTCTCTTCAATTCCTCTCCACTACCTAACCTCCATGTTCTATGAAATAGCACATGATCTCACTTACATATAAAAAAACTTTTTTATGTAAGTGAGATCATGTGCTATTTGTCTTTCTGTGCCTGGCTTATTTAACTTACCATACTCCAAGTTCATCCATGTTGTTGCAAATAATAGGATTTCCTTCTTTTTAAAGTCTGAATAATATTCCATTATGTGTATATACAGCACATTTTCTTTATCCATTCATCTGTTGTTGGATACTTAGGTTGATTTCATAGCTCAGCCTTTGGAGATAAAGCTGCAGTAAACATGGGAGTGTAGATGTTTCTTCAAGATACTGTTTTAATTTTCCTTTGGATACATATCCACTAGTAAGTAGTAGCATTGCTAGATCATATGGTAGTTCTTAATTTTTTGAGAAACCTCTGTACTGTTTTCCATAATGGCTGCATTAATTTACATTCCCTCCCAACAATGTGCAAAGTTTACCTTTTCTCCATTTTCTTGCCAATACTTGTTATCTTTTTTCTTATTGATAAACAGCCATTCTAGCAGGTATGAGGTGATATTTCATTGTGGTTTTAATTTTCACTTCCCTGATGATTAGTGATGTTGACCATGTTTTCATATGCTTGCTTGCCTTTTGTCTTTTTTTTGAGAAATATCTGTTCAGGTTCTTTGATCAATTTTTAATAGGATTATTTGGTTTCTTGCCAATGACTTGTTGGAAGCATATGTTTAGCCTTTTTTTTTGAGTCTCACATTCTGTCACCCAGGCTGGAGTGCAGTGGCATACTCACGGCCACCCCAGTGTTGATCTGTTGGGCTCTGGTGATCCTTCTACTTCAGCCTTCCTAGTAACCGGAACCACAGGCGCATGCTACCATGCCTGGCTAATTTTTGACTTATTGTAGAGATGAGGTCTCGCCAAGTTGCCCAGGCTGGTCTCGAATGTGCAGGCTCAAGCAGTTCACTCGCTTCGGCCTCCCAAAGTACTGGGATTACAGGCTGAGCCACTGAGTCTGGCCTGTTTAACTTTTAAAAGAAACTGCCAGAGTAGTTTCATTAGTGATTGTATTATTCTACATCCCTACCAGAAGCATATAGGTGATCATCAAGCTGTTTCACATTCTCACCAAAACTTCGGAGAGTCAGTTTTTTTCATTTTAGCCTTTCTAATAGATGTATATTTCATCGTAGTTTTATGAGTATGTATTTATTTAATAACTAATGAGTCTTTGCATGTACTTATTTGCCATCTGTATATTTTCTTTAGTGAAGTGTCTATTAATATTATTTACTCATTTTTAATAGGATTTTTTATTAAGTTGTAAGATTTTTTTATATATCCTTTCATATTTCACTTGTCAGACATTGTTTTACAAATATTTTCTCTATCTTCATTCTCTTTCAAAGAGTTCTTAATTTTGATAAAGTCCAATTAATCAGTTTTTTCTTTTATAGCTTGTGGTTTGCTTATATTTAAGAAATCATTGACTAAACTAAAGCCATAAGATTTGCTGCTTTAGCCAGGCACAGTGGCTCATGCCTGTAATCCCAGCACTTTAGGTGGCCAAGGCAAGAGGATTGTGTGAGCCCATGTGTTCGAGACCAGCTTGGGCAATTTGGCGAGACTTCATTTCTACAATAAATCAAAAAAAATTAACTGGGAATGGTGGCATATGCCTGTAGTTCTAGCTACTTGAAAAGCTGAGGTGGAAAGATGGCATGAGCTCAGCAGGTTGAGGCTGTGGTAGCTGTGAATGTGCCACTGCACTCCAGCTTGGGTGACAGAATAAGACTCCAACTCAAAAAACTTAAATAAATAAAAAATAAAATGCATTTAAAATAATATTTTCTGCTTTGTTTTTTTCAAGAAATCATATAGTTTAAGATTTTACATTAGGTATATGTTCTACTTTGAGTTAATTTTTTTATATAGTGAAGAATGGATAGAAATTTGAGGGGTTTTTTGACATATGAATGTCTCTTTGGTCTAGCACCATTCTTTTTCTTTTTTGAGTTGGAATCTCGCTCTGTCGCCCAGGCTGTAGTGCTGTGAGTAGCACACTCACAACCATCCCAGCGTCGACCTGCTGGGCTCAGGCCATCTTTCCACCTCAGCCTTCCAAGTAGCTGGAACTACAGGCACATACTACCACGCCTGGCTAATTTTTTTATTTATTGTAGAGACGAGGTCTCACCAAGTTGCCCGGGCTGGTCTTGAACCCGTGACCTCAGGCAATCCACTCACCTCTGCCTCCCAAAATGTTGGGATTACAGGCCGAGCCACCAAGCCCAGCTAGCACCATTCTTAAAAAGAATTTTCTTTCCCTACAGAATTTCTTTATCTCTGAAAAATTAGTTGACCATATATAGGTGGGCCTATTTCTGGACCCTGCTTGTTTCCATTGGTTTATTTGTTTATCTTCACACCAGTGCCATACTGTGTTGATCTGTGCACTTTATGACAGGTCTTTAAGCCAGATAGTATAAGTCATCAGCTTTGTTCTTTTTAATAATTTTATTGGATATTCTAGGTCCTTTCATTTCCATATGATTTTTGTAAGAATCTGCTTTCAGTTTCTACCAGAAAGGCCCCTGAAATTTTTATTGGGATTATGTTGTATTTTTAGATTAATTTGGGGGAGAATTGACATCTTAACAGTATTAGAATTCCATTAATATGGTCAATCTCTCTATTTATTCAGTTCTTTAAATTTTCTCAGCAGTACTTTTTAGTTTTCACTATATATGTGTCCTGTACATCTTTTATCAGATTTATCCCTAGGAATTTAATATTTTATTGTATTATAAATGATATTTTAACAGTTTCCATTTCTGATTGTTACTAGTATATACAAATACAATTGATTTTTGTGTATTGATCTTGGATCATACAACCTAAACTCATTAAGCTGTTCTAATAACTTATTTGTCAAGCCTGTAGGATTTTCTATACAAATTAGCATGTCCTCTGTGGGGGAAAAAATGTCTTCATTTCAATCTGGATGCCTTTTATTTATTTTTCTTGTGTTACTGCATTTGCTACAATCTCCAGTACAGTGCTAAATATAAATGGTGAGAGCAGATATCCTTGCCTTGTTTTTGATCTTAGTAGGGTGAACATTCATTTGGATGCCAGTTATTGTGAATTTTTTATTGTTCACTACTGAATATTTCTGTATTTCTGGAAATATTCTTGTGAGTTGCTGTGGATGCAGTTGTTATTTGGATCTCACTTTGGAAGACAGACTAATGAGGTGTTTATTTTAGAGCAGGGGTCAGCAAATCATGACCCATGGGCCACATTTAGCCCATCACTTGTTTTTATATGGTCTGTAAGTTAAAAATAGTTGGGGGTTTTTTTTTGTTTGTTTGTTTGGTTTTTTTTGAGTCAAGGTCTTACCCTGTCACCCAGACTGGAGTTCAGTAGCACAATCTTGGCTCAGCATAGCTTTGAACTCCTGGGCTCAAGTAATCCT